CACGCAGCGAAGCGAAGCGATGAACGGCCGAACGGCACCGGCGGGTGTTGGAAGAAAAGGAATACCGATTTGGAGTTGATCCCCTCGAAAATAGAGACATCATGAGGTGTCCAAGGTCTAACTAGGTTCACGAAAGTGGACTTCTTTCGGGGGTGATTGGAATGGTTGGTGATTGGAAGGTTGCGCAGTTCTGTCTGATTGAAATTTGAAGAAACAATATTGTTTGATGGAAATTAGTTGTTGTCTGTGCAATTTGACTTTGTTCCAAAGTAACTAGTCAGAAGGTTGCCATGTTGCAATCAAATCTTTATACAGTAATTGAAGCTATATCGTTCTAGAGTACCAAGCAGTTGACACTCAACATTGAAGCATTGCCTCCTGAGGGGCAGCAAAAACTCCTGTTCATCGGAACAAATGCATACGTGCCTTCGAACTAACATGGAAGTGGAAAACCACCTATTTCTGGAGGAAAACCATGCCATCCACTTCCATGCTTTCTTTCCAGGAACTGCATCGGTTTCACGCTCTTTGTTCTCTTCAAGGGTCGGGCCTTTCACTGGCTCATCTTCTTGCGTGACCTGGGAAGTAGGGCTTGGATCATGGCAAAACATCACCACCTGCAGTGGTTCTGCAACGATGGCTTCAATCCAATCCGCATGATTTTTTCTTGGACTCCACAATATATGTGCTTATCCATGCTCCTCATACTTGGACAGAATACCAAAAGGTGTGGACCATTGCAACAAGCGGGCTCCGTTCTGTTTTTGGTAGACCATTCATTTGCATTTGGATAACAACATTCAGCTTGCAACAAACATGGGTGGCTAGAGGATGCTTTCTCTGGACATTCTCTCCTTCTGTGGAATGTGAGGGTACAAACAACTGGACTAAAACCCGCAACGCGGAGCAAACTGGACTTCGAGACTGAGGCCCTGCGATATGTGGATCAGGAGGCTAGAAACACTCTGTCAAACCTTCAGTTTGCCAACTCTGAGCCTCTGTTGAAAAAGGACACCACAGAAATGAAAGCTCCCCAGAGTCTCCATGTTCGGTGCTCTTCCATTGTTCCGCGCCTCTGCCTCCTCTTCCTTGGGGCCTCTCGCAGCGTCAAGCCGCTTCTACGGTGTCCGGCTTTCTACGGTCGATGGTGATCAAGGCAGTGTTTTCACAGGGAGAGACCACCCGCCGGAGTCATATCATGCCCTGTCTTCTCGCTTGACTCTTTGAGGAGCCTAAACATCGAGCAAACCAATTGAATCCTAGCAGCCATCCTAGTAGCCACAGGGCACCTGAGTAATTAGTGGGAAAGAGTTGATGACGCTCCCCTAAGTCTGGCATCTCTGTTTTCAGGGACTTCCACTTCCTCTTGACTCTTGACCTATTGTTAAGTGCAGTCACAAATGGAGCTGCAAGTCATAACATGGAAAAAAGGTGTCAGTTACCAAATCAGCCGCTTCAGCTCTCTGGGCACTTCCGTGCCTGCAAGCTGCACCACCTGAACAACCTGATGGGATTCATGGCCACAGATGGTAAATGCGTTGCGCTCCTACATGCGTAGATCGAATCTGTTCCACAAAGAAAAGCATGTGAAGCAGCATCTCTGAATGGCCACGCGTATTGAATGTATGATGCTTGGTTGAGTCATTCGTCATTTGATGCATTCAGGCAAACCCCACTGGACTGTACTGGCCCCGATGAAGTCCAATAGATTTGGAGTGAGTTTGCAGTCAGCGTCTGCTGTATGTCAAGTACAAAATACCAAACATATTTCTTACAATGAGTTAGACTCTTTGACTTTCTTTGACTTTTCAGCAAGTTCATTCAAAGGCCACCAGGCAAACAAGCAGTAAAAAGCACTTCCGGCCTGTGGCGCCTGAATGTAACCATGTGTCTGGCCTCGAGTCCGACCAGACTTCGCAGCAGCTATAACTGCTTAGCAGTCTTTGGCGCGCCCATATTAGGGAGTCATGGGAAAACAACACGGCGCAAGGCCATTTTATGGATGTCCACCTGAAATAGTAGTCTATGCCCTATGCCATGTACTCATGTACTCGGAACCCCCAAGAAATTCATTGGTTTCAGGGTTCTAGGACTGATAGTGCTTCTATGATATCTATGAGTCTCATACGGAAGAATTTGATATTTCAGCAGCTGGGAGAAGATCTCTCAGCAGCTCCTGACATCTCAAGCCGTGCCAGCCCTGTCAAGGATTCTCAGCCTTGTGGAGAAGTGGAATGCATTCAATCCATGTCACTTAAGCTTGTGGGAGTCTCCATACACCAACCTCTGCATGCAGACCCAACTTCTCACACCCCCACCCTCCTCAGGCCCCCAGGCCTAGACTGATGCTGTGGGCACGTGCGGCTGGGCGGAAGAGGAAGGACCTGAGACCGAGTCACGGTAGACCAGGTAGACTGGCACCCATGCAAGCTGAAGGTACTTGAGATACTTGGTCCCTCTATCGTCACCTACCCTAATCATCCCCAACTCTGAAAGGATATGAGGTTTGAAGATGTTTAAAGTCCAAAATGTGCGATCCTGTCCCAGACCCTTCACACGCAAGCCAATTTCTTCATACGAGTACAATGGCATACTACACACGCACTCGGACATCCACGGGAAACGTGGATTGAGTACATCGTTCTTCTTACAACCCAAATCCGTCCTTTTCTTCGACTTCAAACACTGGCCACTACCATCAGTCGCCGTCGGTGACCCGCCCACAGATCCACTCGCCCCCGGCACCACGACTCGCCGTGGCGCTGCGTGGAACTTGTGGGCGCAGTCACCGTGCGAGGCAGCTGCAAGACCCTGGCAGCGTGGCTTGTGGATCGCTCGTGGCGCAGCTCGATCCGCCGACCGGTCTGCTCCGGTCTAAAGATCTCCAGTGAAAGTCCCTGAGTGAAATAGAGATGAACATCTTACTGGTTAAGGGGGGGCCCCTTCATGATCTTCAAACAGCACGGATATGGGAGAATCGGAACTTTGGAAAATATAGTGTTTAAAAATAAAAGTCCTGGTGTTGCTGGGATGTCCCATTGCCAGCGTCTGGTGGACCCCCAGCAACCGCGTAAATCGCACCAAGATGGCAGCATGAAAGACCTCAGTCGTCTCCATCCAGCCTGGTCTGTGTCCGAATCATCGTCGTCGCTGATCAGCAACAAGGTGGGAAGGTAGGTGGGAAGAATGCAGGTGTTGGCAACTGCGTTTGTCATTGTGTGTGTCTTGATGAATGAATGTCAGGTTCAGGCAAATGCTTGAGCCAACACACCAGCACCATTGAAAGGACTGAAAGGGCACATCGGGCCATTCTATCCCACAAACGAGGCACCCTATAGAACCAGGTTGACTGAAGATGTCATTTGGAAAATGAACATGATACCTCACATGAACATCAAAGCAAGAAAAGAATGGCTTCCTCAAGGCACAACATCTCTCTCAAGAAATGGGGATGTTCCCTGAAACTGGAAATTCCTCAGGCCGCCGGCGTGACCGGGTCCAGCAGGGCGCAATAGACCTGTGCAAAGGAAACTTAAGACCAAATTGATCATATGCCCCATATTGCCCTAGTCGCCTAGTCTTTTTCTGTTGAGGGGAACATGGACAAATAAGAAGAGAATACTGGGGCAATTGCAAGGAAGAAATTGTTGAAAGTCAAAGTAGTGCCACTCTCACATAGGCCCTGTTTTATCTTTGGATCGCATGCAGCAGGCACCTTCACAAAACCGTTATTCTAAGCACATGTTTTCTTTATTGAGTTGCTGAGGGTTGGATATGAATATGCATTCCAGCATGTTTTGGCAAACAGGATCGGAGGAGAAAAGTCAACGAGATTCTTTGGGGACGTGGTTAAACACCCATGTTGGAAACGCAAACCCTGAAAAAGACTCATGAGTTCTCACCTTCCAGCGTCCGTCTTGACAGAAAACACACTAGGCAACCGTGGCCTTGACATTCTCTGCGAGCTTGTCCAACAGCCACCTGAGTGCGGCTTTGCCAAAAAACACATCTACTTGCACGAGTCCATCATTTTTTCTTGAGAGAAAACAACAAGCATAACTTCCTCCATGTCAAACGGGGCACCGATCCTAACGGAGCCACCGAAGGAATGACATGGTCTATTCAGGTCACCTCTTGGTCGGTCCACGAAAGGAGCTTCAGATGCTAGACTCACATGCTAGGACCTGTGCAGTAAAACCGTAAGATCATGTAAGACCTATTTACTCCATAACCACTAAGGCGTTGTACTTGTTGAATTATACGATACTCATAGGTGTCACATCGATCTAGGTCTTTCTTGGATTTGTTCATTCTGAGGATGTGGCTCGTTCACAGGCTTGGAGGCATCGATGTGGCCTGCAGAAGTGGCACAACTCGGTCGAACAAAAACCACTGGAGAAACACATTATATAGATTTAAAGCAATTCTATAACCTGGAACCCACATGAATAAGAGCCAAACCGAAATGTTTTTCTTCCACGAATCTTCAGTAGATCATATTCCCCCCCCATCAACCTTCACAAGAGTTCACATCCGAGGTCTTGAAACAGGCTCAAACATACCCCATGACCGGTTTGCTTTTTCTTTACCCAGTTTTCCTAGCCCTTTCGCTCCTGTGGCGAAGTCTTCCATGTTCCGGTCCGAGAATTCCATCATCGTGGACCTGCGCGGCGCACGCGCGCGGAAAAAAATACGCACAAACGCGGACCCCCGCGCTATGGCTGGTTTGACCCATCCAAGAAATAAGGTTGAGAAAGACGAGGGGGGGGTAATGCTTGAGATGAGAACCATTCGAATGAGAAGGAAAGGTGTGCATGTTGGAGAAGAATCATAGAATGTTGATGAATGTTGTGAGACTAAGAGGGTAAACTATAACTTTGTAAGGTTTTGTAAGAACAACTTCACAGATTTGGCCCGCAGTGTTTGAGGCACACCCACTCGCAGTGCCTTCGCATCCCTTCCCTCAGCCACGGTCCCACGCTCTTTCTCGCCCCGGCCACGGTGGTGAGTGCGAAGCCTGGCTCATGCGGCGGCCAATCAATCTCTTGCGACAGGGGCTGCCTGGGCTCTGCTACAAAGCCAACCTCATGTTGTTTGATGTTATCCCCTTCAGAAACTGTAACAACCTGAACGAAATGGTACAAATGTAACAACGTGACCTGCAATCTGTGGATGCCACACTGCTTGGGAAAGGGCTGGACTGCTTTTCTGATGTTGGGAACCCGGTCGGGGGGGGCTTGGTGTTGAGCCACCCAGCACAGGGTGGTCACGCGTGCGAGTGAGTGTGATAAAAGTGCTCGATGCTGTTCAGCCAAAAAAGAAAACTGTTCAAAACAACATATCCAGGACTGACCAGGTCCCTATCTGCAAAGGTGGTGCTTGCAACCCTTGGCAGCAAAGGGTCCAAATACACATCTCGTATGAAGCTTTACAATCGATTGATGCCCCACAAAAACACATGTCCACTGAAATAGACATGCAGCATGACATGCATGAACGCCTACTGCCTGCATTATGGGCATCCCTAAACCTTGAGACGCACCAGCCGCGTTGTATCCATCTGCAAGTGCTCCTTTTCCTCGTCGTCTCTCGGCGACAGAAAAGCGCCTCGACTTGGAGGTTAAAGCTCCTCCGGCTTCAGGAGGCCGCCACGGTCGTCGTCATCTTGACATTTCCTCGAGGGCACTGAGACTCACTGAGACAGAACACCTCTGAGGCACCTGAGGGTTGGTCGAAGCCAAACTCTTTCTGTACTTCATCAGCCACAAGCTCTTCTAAACACATCATCAGCCACTCAAAAGCAACACTCGCACCAGATCACCCAATCATCTGCCAGTCACACATCAGCAGCACCACATCCGTGACCGCACTAATCTATCCTACTTGCATCTTCCACATACACATCAGCCAGCCCTTGTTGCCCTTTAGCAGCGAATATGAGCAAGTATGTGACCTACTCATCCTCCGTCGCATGACTCATGGCCAGCCAAGCAGCTATGGCTAAATATGGATCAACCCACTTCAATGCCATTCTTTTGGTATATCCCATCCCCTGTAACAGTGGATCATGATAGTTAGGTTGCAGGCCTCTTTCAAAAGTAGTCAAGCCTTTATCCACTGTTGCAGGTAACGGGCCGGTAACGGGACACACACACTTTTAAAAAAAGCCATTCCTCATTCCTCCCTTCACCGCCACGTCACCTCACCAGCGGCCCCAGCTCTGGGTGGGTCAACATCACCCAGCCCTCCGCATCGCCTTCGGCCAGCACCACCTGGAGCTCGGCAGTTGAGGGCCTACGTCCTACCCCGTTCCCTGCCCAATCGGTGTTTAGTAGAAACCAATTGGAGATGATTTGGGTTGTTCATGGTTGTCCATCAACCACACCCGTGTGGGTCTGATAGATGACACCAAAGAGAGATCTTGGAAATTTGGCAGAAGAGTCGAGATACTCACAAACATTGTCAATTTAACAAAATTGTCAATTAGTCATAAAGATTGGACCACCCCAAAAAGTCCTTGGATTTATGTCGCTTCTGACTCCGGCCAAATCAATTTGCCTTCAGCTGGCCCCAATTGCCCGTCTCGTCAAAGCGCAGGAGTCGGAAGCGGTCCTGCTTCATGCCTCAAACGAAACGTCGTCCCTTCCGTGACACGTTGCTCCTCAAGCGTTTCTACCAGCCATCGCCCAGCACCACCTACTCAAATTGTTGTGACACCGAGGATGTATCGAGACTCATGGACCTTTTTGATTACTGTAGAAACACTGAACCATTGCCAATTGCCATCAACAAATACCTAAGAGCACCCTCTTTGGCATTTCTTCCACATGTTGTCACAGTCGCAAAGGGAATCACCCAACCATGATGATCTGCATGAAATCCACTTGACCACCAAGCCACGCTTCGTGAGCTTCTGGCCCTTGCCATCCGGAACTTGTCGCACCCAAATGGCCTCATAGACCACTTCCTTAAGCGTTGCTTCGAGAAAAAAGGCCCTACAAATGAGTCAATGCCATTGCTAAGAGATGGTCTTGATGGTCTTCCCAGCTTTGGAAGAATCGCATGTTGGTGAAGTATCCTAACATCTCAATCATGGGAAAGCAATCCCACAATACACATCGTAATATGCAGTGCATTTCGCACATTTTCGTGCGCAGTAATGATATAAGCACTTGCCTGAAACATAGAACAAAATGTGAAAAAAAATGAATAAAATCAACATAAAACACTTCAGTGTCACCCACAGTCACCAAGTTCGTCCGGACCCAAGCGTCATAGAGCTCGCCCTCCTCCGTGCGCTTCGGCTCCGGCGGCTCCGGCGAGTCCGGCGCCTCGGTGGCCGCCTCCTGCGGCGGAAGCGGCGGCTGTTCGGCGGCTCTTCGGCGGCTTCGGTGGCTTCGGGTCTCAGGTGGGGGTTGGGAGGGGCTTGGGATGATCCAGGAGACTTGGGAGGACTTTGGGTACTTAGAAGTGACTTGGAGACAACTTGGAGTCTGAAAAGGACTATATAGATAGGCACTAGGAACTGGGGTGATCCATAGGGCCGATCCCTGTGGTGATGAGTCTCAAAGCCAACTTGGAAGTCCTGGTAACTCTTTTCATGTCTACTTTCCAAGTCAACTTGAACAGAATGGTCTGGTTCATTCCTCGGATCTTCACGTGGCTCAACAAGTCCTATGGTTTGGTTCCGAGGCTTTCACTATAGTTATGATATTAATTATGAAAGCCGCATGCCTCTCAGTGGTGTCCATCAACGCCATCCCAGTCAGAGACCTCAATGACTAGCTCTTCACCGACCCATCTGCTCGTGTCCTCCTCAAAGGCCTGGTTCATCGCTTCCTTCAGGTCGGTCTTGTTCATGCCTGGACAGGTGGATGGACAACCCACCTGTGATGGTCCAGCTGAGGATCTTATTGCGAAGTGTGTGTGTGTTATTATCAACCAGGTACCAAACAGGATCCAAATTGGAATAATGGGCCGGGCAATATTTGGATATGTTTGGGGCAACTTTTGGGCCAGTGGATGAGCACGTGCATGCCGCGCGCATCACGTTCGATCAAGAATTCCAGGTAATTTTAAAGATAAAAGCATTGTCCATACATCTCCAACAACATTGGCCTTCGACAATTCTCAGCAGGCAGTCTTTTTGTCCAAGCACCAATGGCGTGCAGAATATACGAATAGACGAAGATGTTATTCAAGCAATCTTCAAACTACGATTGAATGCTGTCATGGCCATCTGTGCTCCACCATGTTAAAATCGGGAGAGACCACAACCTGTTGCATCCTGGACGGTTTCACAAGGTCCACTTTGGGGCTAGGCTCCCCCACTGTACAAGTTTCGTTGCCTAAAATCAGCTTCTAGCAACGCCGTCCAGCTATAGCCAGCTGCTTTAGCTCCTCCTCCATTACGATCATTCACCTGTTTCACCAAGTCTCCGCAGATTGAAGCATCTGCTGCTGGCCCAAATTGACGAAACATGAGGCCTGTCACCACCACATCTGCAGGATCTTCCACCAGGAATTCCAAGTTCTCATGCGTCTTGAAGTTCTGATCAATCTGCAACTGACGAGGCCAATGCCGAACACCGCCAAGTGTGCTATTCCGGACCTGCCATGAACCTGGGCGCGCTTTGCACTGAAACACCACCTGAACCCACAGCTGACCCTTCTTCAGCTCAAAAAATCTCGAGTAAACAGGATGGCTTGAAACCCCTAGAGCTGGAGACAAGTAGATGGTGGTCTTTGTAGTTGACCCTGCTTGCCCATGAACAATTCTGCATCCCCCCTTCGCCCGGCTTGCGAAGGCTTGTGAAGACGATTTCCGCTGCATGTTCCAAGGATGTTCCGTGCCACAGGATTGGCCAATCTTTGATCTTCTCCCACTCTGCAGCTTCCACCTTGATTCGCCGCTTCACCCATCCTCTTGGCTTGTAGTAGACAACACCATGACGTTCACCATAGTCGTTGCGCCGCCCATATAAAGAGTACGCCCTCCATGGGCCGTAGAGCTTGCAGCCCATGGTGGCCTTTGCTGGTCTGACATCGGTGCTGCAACATGTTTGGTTCGGCTTTGGGCTTGGGATTTTGTACCAAAAATTCCGAGGAGGTGGAACTTGTACTAGTAGGCGCGTGTTAGTTTTTGATGATTGTGAATTACAAAAGCAGCATGCAGCATGCATTTCTATTTTAGCCGTTCCTATCCACACTTTAACTGTGTTTACCTGTACAGTATTCTTACCCTTAACTAGCAAACACACAGTGGAAAAAGTGGTTGTATTGTAGTGTAAGATTATATAAGTTCCCTTTACAAAAAAAAACTATATACTTAGTAGATCTTGAAAAACAAAATGTTGAGTGCTGAATGCTTTCACTGTGTAAACTCGCTCAAAGCAAATCGAATCTCTTCAACCATGTTCATCCCCTCCTGGCCTCAGCATCATCAAAGAGGGACTCATCATCGGTGCGCCCCAAATGCATGCGTTCCAAAGCAAGGCGCAGCAGCAGTTTTACAGGATCGGCTCCGGCTGGAATGCGGTCACCCCGCAAAAGATGCTCTTTTTGCCCAGTGGAAGTCCGAGCTTCCCTGTGCTGGGGGATAATGAAAAGGTATGGACGAATCTGAAGCAGGACACGGTATCCTTTGTAGCGAAATTCTGTCTCTAAGCCAGATTCACTTTTACTCCACTCCATACCAGGAGTGATGAGTTCTGAAAAGACGCGATATCGGAGCAAAACGTCGGCTCTGTGGAATGAACCAGCACACCACTCTCCCCGCCATCTGCATTTGGGACACCGCTCAGGCTTGTGTCGGCCATGGCCAGGCTGATCCCAGAATATCTCGCAAACCGTGGCCTTGTTCCACGCGTGGCAGTTTTGACAGCCTTGCTGGGGAGGACCTGCGCCATCCACAGGAATCCACTTCATTCGGGTGACTCGGTCTTGTGTGAGGTCATACCAGTTCAACAAAGTGTGAATGCATCCAACTGTTGCAAGACGTTCCTCATCAACCCGGACTTCATGAAACCTCCGTCGCCGTGTGCCTGCTGTTAAGCAATCGCACTTGTATTTGTTCTGCAGATCATATACTCCCCATGCAAGGATGGTTTGCCAAGCACGCCCGCATTTGCGGCAGCAGAATTCTGCATAGCATTGGTATTCGTCACTTTGAACAAGCTCTGGAGGCGGTGCATTTGTGATCATCTCCTTGAATTCCTCGGCTGACTTGTTCACCTTGTCCAAAAATCCTGTCGTGGCAACATTTTGCAGGTTCCATTTTGCTGGTTCTGTTCTGTGGTGCGTCCTTCTGCAAGCTGGTCACAACTCCCTCGAGACTATGTACCAAGGACAATACTCTGCCATCAATCAATTCACTCTTGGAGTTTCACGTGGAAACTTTACTACCCATGGAAGAAGGATTGTGGTGACTTTAACAACTCCTGCCTGCCAGTACCTCTGCCGCTGACCAAAACTCATCGGACCCTGCATGGCGACGCAGTAGGCCTCCGACATGCTTTCGAAGCTCTTCATCTGCAGCACTTTTTTCCATCAACTTTTCTATCTCCTTCTGAATGTCTTCCTGATCGGACGAAACCTTCGTCCAAAATGGTAGCTTTCAGTCGCAATTGCGATCGCTCAGTGATGTATCCAGGCACCTTCTTGACAGTCTCATCCAAGAGCCATAATTGTCCGCCCACCAACTCCTTTTGCATTCTTTCGATCTCTGATTGCATGAACTCAATCTTCTCCTTAGGCTCCTTTGCATCTGACCATTTGAAGACCTTCTCATCTTGTCCCTTCTCTACGTCTTCCGGACAAAACCTGAACTTGCGAAGTGGAGACTCCACAGTCTCACAGAAGAAGACATCATGAGGTGTCCCTTTCTCTCTCCGGATCACATCCGCCCATACACCCTCACCTTTGGTCTCAGGACGGAGCAGCACCCGGATGCAAGTGCCCGGCACGGGTGCTGCCATGACCACCCGTGGAAAATGCTGATCCCTGGCAAAGGCCTTGGCAGTGAACAACTGGTTACAGTGACACGTCTCCTTCATTTCGGTTTGTGATTGGACAGGAGTAGCTTCTGATGTTGGAGGACGGACATTCCATGTAACAAAACCTATCACTCTGAAAAGTGTATATGAAAGCATGATCTTTGGGCGTTCAAATTCAATGCCATGTTCAGCAGTTTCCATCTTGAGCCTCTTGGATGCAGCGAGCATTCCAAGTACTGCTCCATTTGCATACATGCATTTGCAATCATTTCCATGTGGTGAGTCATGAGCTTTTGAACTGAATGACCCCATCATCATTCTACACTGTATCCAGTTTCGAGACCCCCCCGAGACCTTCCTCGTCGTGGGTTCTCCTCGCGCCTCGCGGCTCCCGGCGGTTCAGCATGGCTTCGGCCACGTTGCGCTCCGGTGGGTCCAGGCGCTTCAACAGGAGCCTCGTTCCCAGGGAACCACCCGGCTGAAACGGATTGAAACGGCGGGTTTGGAACGGTTTGGTATGGTTTAGTGGTTGACCCCGGTGGGTGGTGGAACAGTGGGAACCTTTCAAAAGGATGAAATGAACGCTGTGCGATGCTGTGCAAGAATATGACCGTCCGTCGCTGCGAATCAACTAAAAACAGTGAATACAGCATCTCAGGGAGCATAGAGATTCGGGCCTAGATGATATTGTCTTCCAACTCTCCGACTGGCTGCTTTGACTCTGTTGTAAAGCCTTTGCTGATAAGTTGTACATGTCCTCTGACAGGGGATGGTGACGGTCTACAATCCAAGCCCAGGATGCATCCACAAATGCAAATGAAAGCTGCCTGAACGCGAATACATTGCAGAGAAGTGGCTCAGAACCCATTACCCCCATGTAGACCCCATGGCTCAAGAGCAAAAAGAATAGTGTACAAGTAGGAACTGATGAAAGAAGTCAAGAAACACCTCTATCTAATCTATCTAATACTACAGTGAGACCGTCTGCATTTCCCCTCACGGGGCTTGCCATAGTGCTGTCGATAGGTGCAGGACGAACCCCTAGACTCTAGACGCAACATCCCTCAGTGTTCCACAGGACGCTTGACTGAGCGCTCGAACTGGAGTGCTGACTGGTTTGCCTTTCCCCCAGCCATCGCCTTGGTGAGCGGATGGACCCGGGAAGGCTCACACGTCTCAAAGAGAGTGATGAATAGTTGCTTTTTGCAGCAACTTGTTCAAGGAAATTCTCAGAATCCGCGTGAGATTTGTGGACTTTACTTTTTTTGTGCAGTGCTTAAGCTGGTGGAAGCTGGCTCAGCTAGTCTTAGTCTTAGTCCCCGGCTTGAGGGACTGAGCAAACAGGCTGCTTGTGGTGGTTTCCAGGTTTCTCACACAACCTATGGTTCGAAGAGAGGTCCAAGGCCCTGGTGACCGACACAAGTGGCTTTCAGACTTTCAACGACCAACAACTTCGATTTGCATATGTCCATTGATTCATGACTTCTATTGCATGAAGACACTTTGGGACTGGATCGCTTCCATTTGGCTTCGCAATCCCATGGCTACAGAGGGTGACTTGAAAAAAAATCTGTGCTAAGGCTGGAGGTTCACAACACTGCAAGAATCCGTTATGGAACCCCAGAAAGAGTTCCCAGTAGGACCATCTTCCACTACGAAAGCTCGCAAAACAGTGGTCTTGGGATGATGCTATGATGCCCATGATGCAAGCTTTCCAGGGATGTCAGTCATCCTTGACACGCCTTATCTTGCGTCCGCATTGACCACCGCGCAAACCCCACCCTTGACACGTCCCAGCCCTAGGGCCGTGGACCGTGAGAAGTGCTGCAGGCAAGACATCCAACTCCTCGTGCCTCGTGCGAATGGTGCGGTCCGGTTCCCATGGATGGAGATGTCTTCAGGAGCGTGGGCACCAACAGGTTTTGATCAGTGGACTCACTCTTCTATCTTCTATCCATTTTGCAGCCGGTATTGGGTCTTTCAACTGGCACTCTTGAGCTGGCACTTTTGCACCCAACCCCGGACCTGTGGGGGACCACAGCTTGCCCCATTCCACCGGCGACATCAGTGCCACCGGCCACTGCGGCGCCCGACCGGAGCTCACCACATCGACCCAATGAGCGAAGCGCCGCAGAGCTCGGCCCCACCTGCGTTCGCAATCCTCGAGCGCCTCCCGGGCATCAGCACCAGCCTGGAGAGGCAATGAGGGCGGGTGGCAGCAGTGGCTGTCGATTTGGAGAGTTGATGATAGTTGCCCCACCAAGCTTGATCCAGGGGCTTAAGGCTATATATTAAAGGTGCTTTATGTTTCAGGTGCTTTGGGTAGGGCAAGTGAGATGGTCAGGATGATTGAATCCCCTTGGCCAGTCTTCGAGGGATTCGTCCAAAGTCCACACATCATTTCATGCAGTTGAAAAGGTGGGTGTTACTTGGTGTTCCTCAGGCCTACAACATCCTACAACATCCTACAACCATGTTTTGCCGATCAATATCTGCTTGTGCCATGGTGGATGTTGGGAGATCCTCTCATCTTCAGTGCCTCTCATCTTCCGGGCCTCTAACAGCCGCACCGTGCAGGACAGCTGGTTGCAGCTGGCGCTCAGCGCCAGGGGCGAACGGCCCTGCCAGTCCACCGTGCCCGCGGCTTGGGTGTCCAACAAGAAGTGCCTCCCCGACACAGAGCACTCGGGGCGTGCCCCGCGTCGCGCGGCGCGTGCCGAGTCAGAGCGTGTTCCAGCGTGGCCATCGCGGTGCCGGTGCAAACTCTTTTTCCGCATGGGTTTTGGCCGGTGGGTTTGTGAGTTCGTCCTAGATGAAGCATGATGCCTCATAATGTATTATAAGACCTATAAAGGGTATAGTCCATTGGTAAGCATTTTGGACAATTTGCTCCAAACAGCTGCAGAGCACCTGACCCCCGACACCCACCCGGATCATGAACAGCTGCAGAGCTCCGCCTCATATCCTCCAGGCGCCCCTCTGCCGCGGCATCGCAAAGCGGCATGGGCCGCCAGCCGGTTCCCGAACTGGACGAAGGGCGTAGCAAAGGACCCAGCTCCGGGTGTTCCAGGAGCACCCAAGCTTGCAACATGGTCCTGGCATCGATGGAGAGGGAGAGCACAAAGTTGGGTGGGTTATGGTGGATTGATTTTCACAAAAATATACAAAAATGGAGCCCTTTACAATGTCGGACCCTGGTGACTTCTTAGAGCTGGTGATTTCAGCGGTCGCAGCCAGTGTGGCTCGAATTGTGCCCTACCCAACTATAGTGGGAGTTCTGGGCATCTTCATTGCGTGTCTGGAAGAGATCCTGATGAGATCAAAATAAGAGGTGACATCAAGGATATTGTATCGTGTTCTATCTCCATAAGCACCCTCTATTTTTACTCAAACAAGCACGCCATAGGCTCGAGATCCCACGACCATATCAGCACCCTCCCAACACTTCTTCCACCCTCCCCACCTCGGATGTTCCCCCTCCTGGGCTCCAAACACTTGCGCCACGTGCGTGTCTCATCCCAGCCGAAGAGTTCCAGTGAGGCGCCTAGACTACCCGCACCCGCCACACGGCCACACGGCCCGCGCGGATCCATAGGGACTGGGTTGTTATCTGAGGTGATCCAACTGAGCTCTTCTCCCCCCAAAAAGAGTGCAATGCATCGGGAAGAGTGAAGATCGTCCCTTTTCGCCAACAAAGAAGGACTGAAGAGTCTCACTCTGCGTGTTTAGTTATCCACAACTGCTTGATTGCTGATCAGGATTCAATCTAGCTCAACAATGCGTTGCTTCTTAGTGGTACTGGCCACCATTTTGATCTGCTGGGGCAGACCGCGCAACTGACTCGTGGAAGCTCGCTATCATTGATGTGCTGCCGTGTTTTTTTCTTGCTGTATACGGGGTCTAAGCTGCATACTGAACCCCGAGTCGACGCGTTTCAGCATGGACCGCGCGATGAGAGGGTAGTATCAAATGGTATGAAGGGATTTCAATTGGTCTGGAAGTGCTTTTCTAGTCTGTGAGGATCTGAATCGCTGCTTATTTGTCATTGTGGCACTTCAATGAATGGTTTGTTGCAGTTTGGGTGCTGGGAGATATAGCTCCGAAATGCTTTATCGACTCTTGACAGTCCCTGCAGCCTAATCCAACGCCATCTCCCTGCAGTAGCAGGGCACCCTGTTCTGGAAGAAAAAAACAGGAACATTCAGGATTTCCCATGCCATTCCCAGATCCTCATCCTCACACCTTTCTTTAAAAGACCGCTTGACAACTTGAGATCGCAAAGAAAGTGAGAGGATGAGGATGAGGATCTGAAAAATGAGGATGAGGATCAACCCCTTCCCAGGATGAGGTTCCCCCCCTTCTTCACTCACTCGTCTCCCTCGACCCCCTCCTCGCCTCGTCGCAGTGAGCTGACGGCCGCCGCGCCAAGGGAGGGACCCTCACGGAGGGCCACCCGGTCCGCGGCAATCTGCAGGCGCGACACCGGGTCAGAGGTCACGTGGTCTGGGTGTTGGATAAAGTTCGTCTTCACCTATAAGACTCTATAAGGACCCCCTCTTTCCACCGCTTCACCTAGCTGTGGCGCGTCTCACCGAAGAAGACACTGCACTGAGCGTGCATCATATTTAGTGTCCTGCAGCTAAGGGGTTCTTTCATTCAACTAAGAGCGAATCGGAGAGAATATATGCAGATCAAATTGATTTGTGTTGTCGTTTTGCCTTTTCGAATTTCGGGTATAACATCATTACAAGAGAATAATGTGATTGCTACTGATTGGATGTTCTTCTCCCACCGAACTCGGGGCAACAACTTCTTGCGCATCCAACAACCCACCGCGCCTGATACCAGCTCCCCTGGCCCAACTCCTGTGGGTGGATCGGCCGGCCGAAGACCGCCAACTTCACCGGCTTGCCATCGAAAAAAGTCACTGCTTTGAGGAAGAACTTTGGACAGTTTAGGAACCTCTTTTGTTTGGATGTGGATCTGATGCATGATGAAAAACTTGTAAAGTAGGGTACTTGCATCTTTTGAAGGCAATGGCTGGGTGTGACCTTGAGACAGCCACAAACAATGAGACTCAGACTTCATCAAGAAACACCCACTGACACCACCAGGCCTGCACAAAGCCAGGTGCAAGGCACTCTCTCCAAAAGTTGCAGGAAACCCCAAATCTACCCTCTATCCGAGTTTCCTGCACCCCCACTTCCTAAGACCAGAACACAACCGCTCTAACCATCTATAGAGTCTATACTTATACGGTTAGAGCAAGCTATATTCCAGGAGGGGGTTACAGGAGTCTATCTAGACAGTATAATGTACGGTATGTTTCTGTAACCCCTCCGGGAACCTCCGAAAGACATCCATGAGTCCTGGCTCCGCTCCCATTGCCCGTTCTCGCCACACCTCCGCCTGAGCCTCTGAGGCAGGCCGGAACTTCTCAGGCACCTATGGATGGTCAGGTGGAGGGACAGATATCATGATTAGTATAGCCAACAAACTAAACATAGACACATTTGTCAGATTTGTGTTATAAGGGTAGCTGGTTGTGAGGATTTGATGGCAAGGTTGTTGGTTGAAACAAGATATCAAAAATATCAATGATATCTACTGCATCTCATCTTGATGATTTGACTTGCATCAATAAGTACAGCTGATTGTCTCCAAATGTCAAAACGTCACTCCTCTTCGTTTGATGAACTGACTTTACCTCCACGAATGCTCGTTGTATCTGTTTGCGATCACTTGTTTTGTCCCAAACACCTCCACTTTTCCTTGTGAAAAAAGGAGATACTCATTAGTGTGGAACTCCTGCTGATAGCTACTCAGCAAGTGGCAGGCCCTTTTGAGCTCTGCAGGACAAGAGAACCCAAACCAAAACCAAAGGAATTCCTCTTAGTCCCATCATCCAATAAGTCAATAAGGGTAGAACCACAGAATGACGATCTTTTTCCTTATGAATCCGAGCTCCTTTCTTTCTCTTCCACACCAAGATATGTTCAATCAAACCGCTTCACGGCGCTGCAAAAGGGCTTCAGCTTTCGCCCGCTTTCTCCGTGGTGTTTCGGCGAAGAAACCGCAGACGTGCTCCGAGGCACCTTGAGAGATCCCAAGAATTGACCTTGGATGCTGTTCTCCTCCAAGTGCGGATCGATTCAAGACGGAAAGTGACTGGTCCCAGGTCCAGTCAGTTCAATGTTGTTCGATATGTCCTTTCTTATGATTCAACTACGATGTGACTGTCCAGCACTTTTGGACTCATAATCAGTCCTCCTCCTCAGAGGGATCTTCTGCCTCTGGCAGGGCTTTCAGCACTTCGATCCCATCCACACGCACCTGACAAGCCCGGTGACCGAACGACACCGCCAGTCCGCAAGCGCGCGCGCGTGCGGGCGCTGAGGCTGGGACGGGCAGGTAGCCTCAGCTGAGCGGCTGAGCTAGAGATCGAAGCGGAAAGTGAATGGTTTTTCGTGTTTGCCAACTTGAAGGGTGCTCATAGGAACCTCAATCTAGATTCGTCTGTGTGAGCATCTGTTAACCAATCCATCCGCTATGAACCTGCAAGATTCCCATCCCTTTCCTCTTCCGAGGGACGTCATCCCAACCACCAGGCATCACAAGCCCCCAAAAGAAACGAACCAGGCATCGCTTCTCCTCGTGTCGCCCACCTCTGTGCGCGCGTTACGACTCTCGCGACCGCGCGTTCCTCCTTGCCGTTTCAGGCACGTCCTGGCTGCACTTTGAGCCATTCGCCACTCTCATCGAGGACTCCCCAGATCGTCCGGCCCCAGGGCACGGGCTTCAGCACCTTCAGAGCCCCAACGAGGGGAGCGACCACCGAACACCGTCAAAGCTGCTTGCTGTGCTGCTTGTGCTTGGAGCCCTGCTGTGGAGCCCTGCGGCTGTGCCCTACCTGGTACCTCTCTCAGCCATCTGACAGCCGCCCTCGCCTGGTTCTTCTCCCCGTCTGTTCCACGGTACCGGAGCCCTGAGCTGCGGGAGCGGAGCAGGCCTCGGTGGTGCCGCCGTCCACCGTCCACCGGTGGCGCAAACTGGGATGGGAGGCCCTGAGTGTCTAGAGGGATGAGTAGGTTCAGAAGCTACTAGTAACAAGTGCATCGCTACTAGTAACAAGTGCCTTACTAGTAGTAACAAGAAGCTACTAGTTCAAGAAGATGCTTGGTTGTTGCATGCAGCAAGTCTTTTGACCAGTGGACCAGTGGTGCTGGCAGTGTATCATCAGTCATCTTCTGCTGCAAAAGTAGAGGTGAGAAACAAACACTGCGCCTGGGCAAAAAGAAACAGCCCAAAGGGAATCTCCACGTCTCATGCCACGGCACTTTAAGTAGATGTGTGAAGCCGATAGAGGAAGTCATTTTCTCATCCAAACCTGGTTTCAATAAGCTTGTAAACAAAAGGGGCCTCTTGATAGGTCATATGGAAAAGAAAACTGCTCATAGGTGAGCACAAGTTTGACCAGGACATCCATCAGCTGGATGCATCAAACTCTACAATTGGCTCCTTGGGTCTTGGAAGACCATTTTCCTGTACAACCAGTGGGGATCCACATCCATTCCAGGGAGAGGGCCCCTCTTGGTACTGATTCCCCACGAGACTCGCCAGGTGGCTGTTGTCCACCAAATAATTCTGGAACTCCCGTCGAACCACGGTGTCAATGGGAATGCCTGCCTCGGTGTCGAGTGAAGATTGTGCCAAGTGGTGTTGTCTGATCCCGATGTCCCATGAAATCTATACTTCATGATGTTTCATGATATTTCTATATCTAAGAAAACAACAACACGTGTGCAAACCACTTTGCCCAAACCAGCTGGCATTGTGGCTCATGCAAACAACTTGGCAATTGAAGTCCTTGAAAACTGACTTTCTCCGTCGCTCACAAAGTGACAATCTTGGAGCACTCACAGTTGACAAATGGGTCTCGAACGGGGGTCCAGGTTCCCTTGCTAGGATAGACGCATATACAAAAGGGTGCCCAAACAATCTGTTGCAAATATCCATATTATGATGCCAGCATATGCCAGCCTGCCCTTTGGTGTTTATTGCATGGGCACCATAATACCGGGATATTGCAGGTACCGTAATTGAAAACCAGGTGCCTCAATTACCCTGTCTTCACCTATTCTCCCGTTCTTTCCAAGTCAATCAACAAGCCGAGCTGCAATGCTCAGTGGCTTCTGTGTTTCTGCGCTTTTCTGCGCCGCCCATTCGCTGAAGCGCGGCATGAGTTTTGAGCTTTTGAGTTTTGCATTACCTGTCATTGGTCGGTCTGTTGCAAGAAATTTGAAGTCTTGAATGCTTGAGTGTCTAGATTGTTTTCTTCTGCGGTCTGAATGTGTCTTGGTTCAATCGCAACAAATTGGTGCGAAGCAAACGGGCATTGACTGTTTGGGTGACCACCCGACCGCACAATATAGAAGCCCTCCAAGCTTGCAGATTGGGCCCAATCTCAGCACTTCCATCTCATTTGTCTTCTGGCTCTTTCCCCTCTCTGAGAGTTGCGAATCTGCAACTCACTAAAGTGGACAAATCCTCGCGCTCAGCGCCAGAAAGCTGCGAAGCATGCCTTCGATGTATCACCCCAAACGTGGCCCGGAAGCCCATACGACGGGCTAAAAAGCTAGCCAGAGACTCCATGTACTGGCACGCCATTGCCATCAAGAATGGAAGAATCGTGGACAAGTGCTCTCTTGTTGTCCAGGAGGTTCAATAAAGCATATGCCAGCTTAGGCCTAGGCCACCTATCTAGTTCAAAGAACCTCGATAGACCTAGGTCCTAGGTGGGAAGATAGGAATTCGGAATTCGGTGCCTTAGACCTAGCTCAAAACTCATAGGCCACCTATTTCTTAGGCCACCAGTTGTTGAAGGAAGTTTCACTGCCAGGGTCCGAACTCTCGCCTCAGGTCGCACCGACCGGTCCGCCGCGAGGTCGTGGAGTCACTCCACGGTCCTCCTGGATTGAAGTTCTTCCATTTAACAGTACCACATGGAAGTGTAAACTAGGGGACCCCTCCCACTTCAACCCCCCTGAAAGAATGGACATAGATTATTAGACCGGAACCATTGAACTATCCATCTACCATCGACTCGACCCATTGAACCATTTTGAACCCAAGAAGGTCGGGTCGACTAGTACACCTCCACGCCGCCCACCCGCGCACCCACCCACGCGCGCCATCCACACCGCGACCGCCCAACCCGGGGGCGAGGAGATCACCGGATATTGTCGTCCGGGTCCAACAGAGCCCGACGGCGGAGGCCGTAGACGATCTTGCGCTGGGTGTCCATGACCTGAAGACGTGGGGTCGTTTCGTGGGTCTGGGAGGCAGAGGTCCTAAAAGGATCCAAAAGATGTCTGTTGGTCTGGGTATGTCTGGATATGTCATGGTATATCTGGGTCTGTCTGGATGTCTGCTTATTTTTGCTGTTTTATCTGCAAGAACGCTGGGCGGTTAGTGGGTTGGTGGGTTCGGCTAGTTGACAGGCACCAATATTATATATGTCTGAGACTGTTCTTGCCAGCAAAAGGGCAACACTCTGAGGAGACTGTTTCGTTGGGAATGATCCAATCGTATTAACATATGGTGAACTGAAAGATACAAATTATACACAAAGCCCAACTGTCAACTGAGGAAAAAGGGCTATGGCTGAAACAGTAAGCAGATAAAGTCGTGTTTTTGTTTTTTTTTCTGAGTCCCCACCGACTCCCTTTTTGCCTGCTGATGAATACGCACCTTGCACCGAATGCTTTGCAAGAAACTCAGTGGTTCCCTGCCCCAACAGGTATAGCACCAAAAGTGTCTAGTCCCATGGCAAAATGTTGCTTTTTCAACTCGCGGGTTTGGTTCATAACCCGGTTCTGTTCGCCAGTTCTGCCCCCCCCAAAGGGAATCCCCAGTTTATGGATCACATCGAAACAACAGGCGGCTAGAGAATTTCAGGATTCCCCCCCAAAATGCTACAGTATGTGGGGCCCTGTTTCGAGCATGCCCAGCTGCATCAAACTTCGCTCCCCGGATGGAGCCGAACTCTCTTCACGAACTGAGTCCCACACATCGTCGTACTCGAAGACATTCTTTCGCACGCTGTAGAAGTAGTTCTCCACCTGCGTGGGAAAAAAAAAAAAACATCTGCGATGGAAGCGCCAGCACAAGTGAGCTAGTGCAAATGATGTGAACCTCGATAGAGGGAATCTCGTGTCTGCATCATTGAATCAAATGTGTCTGCAGGAGACAGGGTGTTGCAGCTACATGTGCTACATCTGCCAAGCCCTCACCCAGGAATTCTTCCAATTTATTCCACTAGGCATCGGAACCCTGCCAGAAACGCAGCGACGAAGCGGCCCCCCTTTTTGTTCAGGTTGGTTCAGGTGCACCTGAGGCGATGAAGCTTGGCAGAGGCTCCGTAAGTCGGAGCCCCTGCTCCGTAGGGTTTCAAGCAACTTGGCCATGCCTGACATGCATTCTCTTAGAACTGGATCGATGCCAAGAAAAACATCCTACGAAGGGAAGAGGCGCCCCCCTAAACTGACACTTGGGGACTCCCCCAAGTGAAGCACCTAGAAAAGAATACTTGGGTGTTCACGGTAGGTTGGAGGGCCATCGCTAGTAGGTTGGAGGCTATCGCTAGTAGATCCATTTCATCTCAGTTGCCATCGATGGAGCTGCCCGGCGCTGTGCCGCCGCCTGAAGCCCCGTTGGTTGCGGATGGAGAAGCGGTGGACACGAGACCAACGAGTAAGCTGTTGGCCCATTCCGCGAGGCTTTCCCTGATGTTTGAGTGTCCATGGTCTCTTGGAGGATTTAATGATGATTTGAATGTTTTGGGGTAAGTTGTAGCATACGTTAAGCTCTTTGCAGGGCTGGGTCTTTGCTCAAACCAACCTTGAGCACAAAGCTCATGTCAAGCTGATATGCCAGTCGATCCCCCCCAAAAAAGAAAGACATGCTTGAGAACATGAACAACAAGATGAGCAACCAGAAGAAAAGACTGTGATTGATATCTACAACATCATACAACATTATACTAATACATGATACAACTCCAAGCCAGGAACAAATCCTCCAATTCCCCGTGATTCGATCAGCCGATTCATCCACTCCCGTGGCAGTCAGTTCCTGGCCTCGTGGGGCTCGTCGCATCCGGTCGGCGAAGATCCTGCCGTTGTAACGGAGGCAGAGGTCTGCCTCCCTGTCATCCCAAGCTGGGGCTACCAATTCAGCTGGTGGAGTAGCTGGTATAGGCTGCTATAGCTAGCTCCATAATGATGATCTGGTATAAAGTAGACCAATTCAGCTGGTTCTAGATGGTTCCTGAGATCTTTGCCACTTGCTTCTGGCATAAGCGCACTAACCACCATTCAATGGATGTGGTCAGGGATTGCTCCACTGAATCAAGTGCTATGGCATCAACATGTGAGTGGGCAAACTTGGACTTTGCAGAAACCAGTGAACATCCTAGTCCAAGAAGTAAGCCTTCCCCGGTAGGGGGACTCATATGGATTCATCCATTCACCCAGTAAGCGTACCGGCAGCCACTGCGGCGGTCCGGTAGGTCGCACCGTAGGTCGCGCCTCGCGTCCGCGCCCGCGTCGTCCTTTGGGTCCGGCGTGGCCGATTGGTCACCACGGTCGCTTTGCCAAGATGGCAAGTGTGAATCCCCCAGGATGCTGAGAAGCTGAGCAACATCAGGATGCTGAGAAGCCAGATGTGCTTGAAAATGCTTGAAAGAAGAAGGATGCGAAAGGAACACTTGCTTCAGATGCAAAAAAAAGAAAACCATGTTCTACGGCGACCAAGTTATCACATTCATCAAACGGCAAACAGAAATGACCATCACCTATACACGGTTTGGATGGCTCTTGATACTGGGTGCTCTATGAGAGGCGATTCAGGGAGCCATGAGAGCACATCGATGGTAGGAAGATGCATGTTCCTAGACCCATGACAGCTCAGCATCCTCAAGGATGTCCAAGCTCCATCTGAGCAGCCCAGACTGCCTTTCAGGCAGTCTCAGCGCCAGATGCACTCGGGGGCGCCGAGAGAAGCACGAACACCGGTGGCGCTCGGAGAAAAAGGCGAGAGAGATTTGTCGCCAGCCAGGTGGAAACCGCGGGGAGCCGGGTTCGCCCACCACGGCGGTCACGCTTTTCCAGGGGACATGTTCCATGATGTTTCTCTACATATATACATAGAAGGTTTCTGTCATATTCTGGTACATCCCAAGTCTTCGACGCTTTAGAGTCGATATAGGCCTTTTCACATCCTTGCGGCTCAGGTGCCGACTGGCGCCCATGAGGGACCCACATCCATCTGCTTCACCGTTTAGAAAGTTCGATTCTTCGATGTTCACCTGGACCGAATGGACTTGACTGGTCATCTATTTATAAATATTTATACTGTAACCTGGGTTGGATTGTTTGAGCTTGTGGGATGGCTATTGAAATCGTGCGATCGATTTTGTGGTGCCCAGACGCTCCAACCAGCCCTTGGTCCCTCAAAGCCTATGGATTGGTTCGACCCCAGACCCCTTTATATGAGGGTCCGACCGCTCCATATGAGGGCCATGAGCGTCTGGGTGACTCTATATTCATCCCTCTCTTCACTTGGGCTCTCCCAGGTGCGGATGTTTCACCCGCCTGGCAACATCGTTCGGGTCATCGCGCGAGGTTCGGAGTCCGGGCGGCCGTAGACTCGGGGTGATGCCCCGGTTCTGTTGCACTGCTCAGTAGCAGGTCTGAGTTGGAAGTGAGCATTGAGACAGAGGTTTCACAAAGAGGTGTCTAAAAGAGATCTCAGCAATGGGCATGTGACATGGCTGGCGTGGTACAATGGTGAACCCATTAAGTTTGGGGTCGATTAGGATCTAATGGGCGCCTGACGTTCAACATCAGAGTCAGAGTCAGAGCAGGTCAAAGCACAAGCGAGTGGTCTTGTCTGCTTTGGCGCGTTTTGGCTGCTTGGGATGAGCATGTCCATCCGATCAACAATCTGTGGAGGTTCTCTTTGTTGAAACATGTTTCACGAGCTTGTGGCCCCGAATCCTCGATCAGCAGCAAAGCTCCCTGCTGAAAAATCAGGGAACGAGGAGCTTGCACCTCTTCCATGGAAGGTCAAGCAGATCGCACAAGAAGGATCTCGAGACGCCAACTCCACATCGGAGTCGGATGTGCGCGACTTCTGTGATGTTCTCTGGGCTGTCATGACATTCACCATCTGACATTTGACATTAAGCAATAAGAGTCATGCTGCTTGATTCCATCTCTCCCATTTTGCAGGGTGTTGCCCCTCCGAAGACTGGTACCTTCT